CAACAAAGCATTAAGTTACATTTAATAAATAAATCAATTTAATAACAACAATCTAAATACAGAATTGCCTTTCATTATATTGCACATTCCAATATCAAGCAAAGGCATTGCTGAATCAGCAAATCATTCCCAGCTATAATTACGTGTAAAGCATAGTAATAGAAACACATCAAAAGTAAGCAATGTAAACTCACAGGCTAATAATAACAATAGCACAAACAGTATTGGTGAACAAACTTTAGTATTAATCACATCAAACCTCACTCTTTAACAATACATTGTAGTCCTTGTGCCAAGCAAGTACCTGTCAAAAGTATGAATGTGAATACTAACTAATAATGATAATGGTAACATCTACAATATTTCTGATTGGATCATACATGCATGGGCATGCATGTATTGTAGACATAATATTGCTTTCTAATGCTATCCTCAGTTAAGATACTTTCATGACCTGCTTAATATAACATAACACTGTGTACGTGAAAATTTTTTTAAGTGCAAACAATATTTTTTTGTTAATGAGAACATGCACATGTTACAACAATCATCAACAAAAGTTGCGCAACATCAGCTGGCAAGCATTTAATATGCGCACAGCATTGATGGCAGCATCATTCAAATGCGCAACATCAGCCGGCAAGCATTAATTTAATAATGCGCACAGCATTGATGGCAGCATCATGCGCAACATCAGCTGGCAAGCATTTACATATATGTAATGTGCACAGCATTGATGGCAGCATTAACATGCATGATGATCATTAATATGTGTACAGAATCACTGCTTGAATAATACTACATGTATAATAACAACTTTTAAATTTACTCGAAAATTTGTCTTGTCCTTCAAAATTTTTTCAGCAGCACCCAGATCCATAAGCACCTGTTATTTGTAATAAACATGTAGTACAAGCCACAAACTAGATCCAGATTTGATAATGACAACTTCTTCCCATCCTAACCCTCTGTCCTACATAAATGAAAGTCACACAAATTTGAATCAATGCAAAATTCTAATGAACAGTAAACCTCTTTCACACTTTCTCTCTGTCCACTGCAGCAACAAGTACTCAATATTCACTGTTATATATTGATTAATCTCACATCCTAAATTGAGTTAGATCTCTTCGTACTGAGCAATACAGGGTGGATATGCACCAATGGTTTTCACAAACACTCACAAATCATTCACATTGCACTGGCCGGAAATACAAGTCACATTAAACAACCAAAGTTTTTAAGATGATGGACCTCCCATACACCATACCCCCTTCCATCATCAATCAATGCTTAAGAAATATTAATAGACTAAACTGCTTGGAAATGATTTGTACCAACATGCTTCAAATACAATGCAGGTGTATTAGTATCACAAGGAATGCCATATAAAGTTTGGGTTACATATCCAGCCCAGCCAACAAAAGTAGGAGTTAGTGAATATGAATATATGGTTGTACCTAATATTGCAGTTAGTGTAATAATCTCTGTCAGTGGCCCACACACAATTTCTATACATTTTTGACTTATTTATGTAATCATATATGCTTGAATATCTGGTTGCACTTAATGTACTATTGAACAATTCTTCTTCAAAGTTAGGCATATTACTAACAATTGCTTTACGTAATTCGTAATGCTGAGAAATTGACCCAGTAATGAGATATGAAAG